ATGGGAATCCCAGAACACTTAAATGTGCTCACAGAAAACCTATAAGTTGAGCAAAAGTCGGTTGTCCAAATAGAGCAAGGGGACACTGTATGGTTTACAATCAAGAAACATGTACAGCAGGGCTGTATTCTTTCCCAAGGCCTGTTCAACCTCCATGCTAAGCAAATCATAAAGTCTGCAATCAAGTACCTCTCCGAAGTGCTAAAGAGCAAGGATGCTAATTTAAAGACTAAAGTGTGCCTGATCCAAGGCATAGTCTTTTCAATTACTTCCTATGTATCTGCTAGTTGAACAATTAATAAAGATGACAGAAGAAGAATTTGTGTCTTTGAGTTGTGAAGAAGAGTGCTAACTATCCAATGGACTGCTGAGAGAACAAACATATGTATTAGGGAAGATGCAGCCAGAGTACTCCTTGGAGGGAAAAATGGTATTACTTTCACACATTTGGGGCATGTTGTTATGAGGATCAAGTTCTTAGAAAAGGACATTGTGCATGGAAAGAGGGTCGGCAAAGGAGGTAAACACACTCAACAAGATAGATTAAGACAGTGATGGCAGAAATGGGCTCAAGTATGTCAGAAGTGATGTGGATAGGCTAAGGTTCCGAAGAGGACACAGAGCATAAGACAGAGTTCAGATACACTATTCATAGGTTGCTATGAGTCAGGATGGCTATGAGTCATGGTTGACTCACTGGTACCTAACAATAATAACACTAGTTAATCAGGATTCTAACAGAAAAATTAGTGGTTCAAATTCAAGAGAAAGATGAAACATTCTACTTCTGTTAAGATTTATGATTTCAGAAATCTGATGTAGGGTCACAATGAATCAAAATCAATTCAACTGAAGTTGATTAATAGTTGCTCAGGTCTTACCAGAATCCAAGGCCTTTTCTGCTCAGCTAGTAAGGTGGCTAATGTTATTTGCATTTTACAAATGAGAACTTTGAAGTTGAGAGAGTTGTCCAAGATCACATGGCCAAGATGTACTCCCAGAACCTTGAATCAAGCCCTTTGAATCATGCTATTCTCTTAAACTTTATTATCTTTACTTTTTTGAAGAAGGAATCACTCCTAATCACAAGATAAAATATTTGGGAGTAAATATAACTAGAAGCACAAAGGATCTATTCAAGGAAAATTGCAAAACATTACTATAAGAAACAAAAAGAGACCTGGAGAAGTGAAAGAATATCCCTTGCTCATGGATAGGAAGACTCAATGTTGTGAAAATGGCAATATTACCAAAGGCAATTTACACGTTCAATGCAATCCTAATACTTTAACGAGATGGAAAAGGCAATCTTCAGCTTCATTTGGAATGGAAAGAAGCTCTGAATAAGCAAAGCACTCCTTAAAAATAGAAAAAAGGTAGGAGGCATCTCGCTCCCAGATTTCAAATCCTACTACACTACCGTGGTAGTTAAGACAGCATGGTACTGGTATAATGACAGACACACTGATCAATGGAATAGAACAGAGAACCCAGAAATCAGACCATCTATCTATGGTAAACTGATTTTTGACAAGGAGATGGAATGAGTTAAGTGAGGAAAGGACAGCTTTTTTAACAAATGGTGCTGGCAAAATTGGAAAACTATCTGCAGAAAAATTAAGATCCACACCTCACTCCATATACAAAAACCAACTCAAGGTGAAGCATGGACCTAGGACTAAAACCAAGGACTATAAACTTTGTTCAAGAAAAGCTTAGAAGAACTTTAATAGTCCTAATCCACAACATAAAAAGTCTTCCAAGTATTCTGAAAAATTTACAACCAGGAGAAGATAAAATAGATGAATGGGACCTTTTAAGAATCAAATCCCTATGTGCATCCAAAAACTCCAACAGAGTATAAAGGGAAGCCACAGACTGGGAAAAAGTGTTTGGGAGTGACATGTCAGATAAGGGACTTGTATCTAGAATTTATAAAGTACTTGGACACCACAACAAGATCAAGGTAAATAATCCAATAGAAAAATGGGCACAGGATTTGAACAGGCATTCACCAAAGAAGACATTCAGATGGACAACAAGCACATGAAGAAATGTTCAAAATCCCTAGCCCTGAGAGAGACGCAAATCAAGAAAACTATGACTATCATCTCACCCGAGTGACAATAGCAAAATTTAACAGAACAGCAAGCAACAAAGGCTGGCGAGGTTGTGGAGAGACTGGAACCCTTATACACTGTTGGTGGGAGTGTAAAATGGTGCGCTTTCTCAAAAAGTTGCAAATAGAGATACCATTGGACCCAGCAATTCCACTACTGGGAATATACCCTGAAGAGACCATAAACGACATCCAAGAAGATATATGCACACCCATGTTTATCGTGGCTTTGCTCACAATAACAAGGATTTGGAAACAGCTTAAGTACCCATCAACAAACGAATGGATAGAGAAGCTGTGGTATATTCACACAATGGAATTCTATGCTGCATTGAAAAACAAAGAACTCATGCAATCATGCAGTATTATTCAAAACGAGTGACCCTGGATGAAGGACATTAGGCTGAGTGAAATATCTGTCACAAAAGGACTAATATTATATGGTGTTCCTGTAGTAGAATGAGGCTGACATCGGGGTGGGGGTAAGACTGAGAAAACCTCAATAAATTATGTTTACTGCATTGAAGCGGATGAGGGAGAAAATAGTTTAAAAGTAATTTATTTTAGGGCATTATGATTATCATAAGAGTCCGGAATGAGGGTTGCAGAGTGGAGTATACTTGGGGTGGAGGATGTGGTGTGCGGGGGCAGGGGAGGGGAGGGGATTATGTGCCAATGAAGGAAATTTTCTTTTACTTTTCAAAGAGCAAGCTGGGGGTGGGGAGTTGGGCGGGGAGAAAAGTGCAACAGTGATTGAATGGAAATCCAAAATCTTTGTAAATGTTCATTAAAATAAAATAAAAATTGCCTATCACAGACTGTGAAGATTGGCGTTCTAAGATGTTTGGTCATGCTCAGTAATAATCAGATGTCATTTATTTTGTCAAGAAATAAAAACCTTTAAAAAAATGTTTTTAAAAAAAACAAGTCATCAAAGAATAGAGAATTTTACATCCAATTGCCCTACAGTAGTAGTTTTCCTTTCCAGCAGGTACATTCCACATTGATTCTGTGATAGCTTCTCTTGCCTATGTTGACATTCTGGTAGAAGTATCTATGGAATTTTCCAGCAAAGCCAAAGAAAAGTGCATAGATTTTTTTTTTAATTGGCCTGCAATTATAATTAATTTTCTTTTATTTGAAAAATGTGAAGCCTTGGGCAAATTCTTAAGCTCTCTAACCTTTACTTGGTTTCAAAATTGTCTACAATTAGTGTGGATGACTCCTATCATCTATGTAAGATTAGAAGAAGCAATCATTATTTGCCATTTTCTTTCAAAGTGCTGAATTAGTTATCTTTTCTTTATTATTTTGGTTTTCATTTCTTGATCTTTTGCTCCAATTTCTACTCTTTACTCATTATACAGATATGTAATATCTATATAATTATATAGATATCAAATTATATATATCATTTTTATATAAAATTTATATAAAAATAATTTTATATATAATTTATATATA